CCTGCGGCACCCCATATTTTAGGGGCCTCAGGGGCGATCTCTGCCCCCCGACCAACACCGACTGCGACCTGTCCGAGAGGTAGGAGGAGAACCACTGCAAAACAGTGCCTCCCATTTATTTACTCAACTTCATCTCAATCAATGACCCCAGGTGGCTTATGATTCCCAAACTATAAAAACAGGGGAAAGTATTTAAAAACAATAAAAACATCCAAAATACATATGTACAGCAGCTGAGATAGTCAACCAGTTAACATAAAGCCAAGAAGCAGGGCCCTTAACAGATTCAGTGGTCCTGCTCAGAAACACAGCCAAGTTTTTAAATCCTTATGAAAGGCCAACAGGCTTGGGGCCGTTCTGATTCTCAAGGGGAGATTATTCCACAGAGCAGGGGCTTCTGCAGAAAAGGGATATCTTTTAGTCCCTGCCAGCAACACTTTTTGACTGACAGGAGCTGCAGCATGTTCAGTCAGCTAGATTGAACCAGGTGGGTAGAGACTCTTGGGAAAAGTGGGTCAGTCCTTCAGGTAACTTGATCCTGAACCATAAAGGAATTTAAAGGTGACAACCAGCACCTTGAATTGCATTTTTTGTTTTATCAGTTTTATTGGTTAATGTTTTTCTCAGAAGAAACATACAATCAAGGTAAATATCTAGCAGCAATTCATCACATACTGATAATCCTCGATCTTAATGGAGTCTGCCCATCATGGCCATAATTTATGAAAGTCATAAAAGGAGTAAGTCACATGACTAACCTGATTTTACAACCTTTTTTGCGCCAGTTGTTAAGTGAATCACTGCAGTTAAGCAAATCCTCAGTTGTTAAGCAAACCAATGTTACAGAAAAATCAAATGTAGAAAGCACACAACAGATAACTGATTCAGCTGGATTCATTAACTTCTTTATATATATAATAACAAATGAATAAACGTATAATACCAATAGTAGATTCTTTCAACGTGGTAGAAGTTACAAGCAAAACACAAGCAGAAGAGAACAGTTAGTGTCATTTCAGAGTTCAAAGCAGACAGAGTAGTTTCAGTTTTGATTCTCATCACAGACTCAGATCTGTTTAAGCTCCTATTGGCTGACTTAGTTGCTATACCTATTCAGTGGCTAACCTTGTTACCATGTCTCTCCCAATCATGAATATTCTAATATTTTATTATTATAAAATGGGGTATTGCAAACAATTGTAAATGAAGCCTGGTTGCAAACACCCTAATTGAAATATCATGGCCGCAGGGGGAGCAATTATCAGAACATATAATCTGGATTGTAAGTACTCTCCAAGTAACTGCACTGTAACTTCAGATGATTGCTAAATGACCAGTCATAAGTCAAGGACTACCTTTAGATTAGGATAGCAAGAATATATAAATTACGTATGCTTGAGTGTTTGAGCAGTGCAAGTATGAGTAGTATTTTTTTTCTAAACATCATGTATATTTTATTAATCACTTCAAACCTTTCATAGAATTCAAGAAGCTTCCAGAAAAGAAATTGGACATCTTAAGTCCTCAGCTCTGCTTCTTACTGTTCCTCTCCACAGTGAACTGGAATGAGGTGCCTTAATTCAAACTATATGACTTAATTTTCACATTCAATTCAACAGGATAGAGAACATTAATCTTTTTTTTAAGGTTGGTTTCAACTAGAGTGATCAATGGGGTTTACAGGTTGAAAGTTTAGATTATTGCTGCTGAGTAAAATATACTGTTATTAGACATTGTCACTTTCAAAGCTATTTTGGACAAAATTAACTTTCTACTTACAGCAAAGTCGTATGCATATTTTTTTTTGCATTGCATGAATATGCATAATGGTATATATTTAGTATTCCTGTAAAGCTAAGGTGAGCAATTGTGTTTTGTTTCAAAGGTCATATTCCTGTACAGATGAAGCAAGCAATAGAAAGAACCATAGCCAAAAGTGGATATGGATACAAATTTAATTGAGGTGGCAAATAAATTACATGAATACTTGCTTTTCTTATGACATTTTTCATTCTCTCTTATATAAGCATACATTTTCTTTGACATCTTCTTTGCTTTGGACCGTTTTCTGCAGTCATAAACCACTGGATAAACATTGAGGAAAAGCAGGGGATCACTCACATTAGTAAAAGATACCCCTCCCTTCAAGTTATTTTTAAGACCATCAGAACACAATTAAGAAGAAAATATATTTTTTAAAAACTCAAGTATTTATTTACTGCTTAAGAAGCAGACTTCAGTATACACTGCTTATTTCTTCTTGGCATGTTGAAAAGGCATGTGCTGAAAAATGTTATTTGATCAAATTTACAACTGTCACACCTTGCTTCAGGACTGAACTGCAAATAGGAGGCTTTTTTACTGCAAACTTTTCTCTGAATAAAGCATGATGGGATCTTGCCTTCAGACAAAACTTATTTCATGTGCATGAGAGGGATCTACTACACCCATAGCTCCTTTAATATTTAACCCAATGTATCTTTTTCCAGTGTAGATTATAACTGGCATTAGCCAACCTCCAAGCTCTTCATCAGTAGTTCATTGGTGGCTGAAGTGAGCATTTGGCCAGCTGTCTTGCAGTGAGGCAATGAGTAAGCTTTGTCCCAACTAACTGGAAGTGAGATGAATGTGAGAATATAAGTGAGCAGGTTGCACTTGGTGAATGTGGGGAGATTGTAATAGACCATTTGAGAATAACTGATATAGAGCAGTAGAGAAGGAACAGTTAACTCTTATGGGAATTGGAATTGATCACTTATAGAGAGCTTTTGAAATCAGCCAGGAGCCACATATTTCCCATCATGCTGTAACAGAATTATATTCCTGCTAGAAAACTCTTGTATATAAAATAACACCCTGCAGTTCATGGAATCTGTTTTTGGGTGGTTATGCCATTTTGCCACTCCAATATGTTTTGGTGCTCTGTCCCCAGAGATGAGTTTCTACACATGTAAAGAATAATTTGTTACTATTCTTGAACTTAACTTTTTTATTTTTACGGTATTAGATAGATTACATAGTGGAATGCTTAACTTTTCTTTAGCCCATCTTTCCTTTATCATCTCTTGTCAATAATCCTACCTTGACTTCAAAGAAACACTAGTCTGAACTTAAATCCCAGGGTTCAGGTTAGATACAACAGCAAGTTAGAACCAATGGGAAAGCAGGAAGTTCCACGTTGATCTTAGCTAAGCAGGGTAGAAGGCATTACTGAAATAAAAACAAGGTTGGTATGCAAAATAAGTAGCAGCTATATTACTCTGGCTCCTTAATAAATAACACTGAAGTTTCTTTGTGAATAAATATTTGTGTCCTGCAATTATACAAGGCAGTGGAAGTGAATACTCTGGATGCTTGAAACTCTGTTCTCCGTTTCCCTACAGGCAAGAAGAAGGCAACACTCTTTGACAGCCAGGCTCCTATCTGCCCTATTTGTCAGGTTTTGCTTCGCCCAGGTGAGCTGCAGGAGCATATGGAGCAGGAGCTGGAGAAGTTAACACAGCTGAATATCAGGTAAGGACAGCAACTTTGCTCCTGACCTGTCCTGTCCACACAGAATCATATGGGCTTTAGCCCTAGATCTACTAAACTGAAGGTCTTCCTTTTATAGCCAATCAGGCCACACTTCATATTCTATTCTCTCATGGTAAAGAATGTAAAACCCTTTCATTTGTTAGAGATATTTTTTCTTATTACATCACTTGCATATTCTTTTTTATGAACTTACTTTTTCAGCCCCAAAGATCCACCAAAGTAAGATATTCCATCAGCCAACTAACAGCAAGCCGCCTGATGAGAATTGTATATCAACTCTCCATGGTAGATCTGCTTTCAAGATATATTTGACTTCTTATTACCGTATTTTCACGACTATAAGCCGCACTGAAAATCCTAAAATTTGANAGCCATGTTGGCATATCTGGGGAAACCCGAATCTGAAAACTTCCCAGTTTTCCCCACTCAGTTGAAAGTTCAAGATCTTGCCCCCACACCCACAAGTCCATCATATGGTCCAATCTTCCACTGCCATACTGGTTCTACCCATCCAATTCCGGTCAGGTGCAGAGCTGCAGAGACAAAGGATGACCTTGGTTTTCTAGAAAGAATTTTGTTGTGACTACATAGTATGTTACTCCTTACAATCCCCCCTCCCATTTTCCCACAATAGAAAATGCAGAGCATAATAATAGAAAGTGTGGCAGAACAAAGACCTAAAAGAAAAGATGGCTGCAGGCCTGACACTCTTATTATCACAATCAGGTACTCCCCAACTTGCAACAGTTCATTTAGTGACATCTGAAGTTACAACATCACTGAAAAAAGTGACTTATGACCGATTTTCACATTTACAACTACATTTACAATCCTATGGACATGTGATCAAAATTCAGGCACTTGGAAATTGAGTCATGGGTATGATGGTGGCAGTGCCATGGGGTCATGTGATCACCTTCTGCAACCTCTGACAAGCAAAGTCAATGGGAAAGCCCAATTCACTTAACTATGTTACTAATAATGCAGTGATTCACTTAACAACTGTAGCAAGGAAGGTCGTCAAACGGGGCAAGGCTCACTTAACAAATGTCTCACTTAGCAACAGAAATGTTGGGCTCAATTGTGGCCATAGGTCAAGGACTACCTGCAATATATAAACTCCCAGTATCTTGTGTTGAAGAGATTAAGGTTATTCTCCAAGGTTGTGGTTGAAGCCATGTTGGTTATTTCACCAGAAAGTCTTCCATCTACAAGTCAATGCAGCTGTAATTCAAAGGCTAAAACAAATGCAGGACACAGGGATTGATTTGTGGGCCTATGGCTGCATTCTACTACACAGGCTGTTCTTGAGTACACCCCCGCTTTCAGAATCTGTTATTGTTACATAACTAATTAAGAATATAGAAATAAAGAAATGATCATATATTGTTAATGGTAGAAAAAAATTGAAAGAAATGCTCTCTTTGCTTAAATTGAATTAGAGGATGTACGCTATTTATAGCAAAATATACCGATGGAAAAAATAAGAGATGAAAATTTGGTGTAGCTTTGAAAGGGCAATTGAAGATATCGTTTATGTATTAAGAAAAAATAACTATAAAGATGGAAAATAATGGAAGAAAATAATTTGGCTGAAAGTGAAAACAAAACTATGATGTAAAAAGGACTATGTAATTGAGAGGATGTAAAAGAAAAGACCCGGACAACTCTTTGTTCCTATAAGATATATATAATTTGTATTAAAAAATAAAAAAACCTTGGGGAAAAAATAACCAATGAGATGAATATTAATAGTGGGACACAGAAGCATTATGCAATTGATAACAAGAGTTACAGCAATATATGCCTAATGTTATTCTCTTACATATTATTATATGCCATTATTTCAATTGTCATGTAGTGAATACTGTTTTTAAAACTCATGTGATCAAAGTAAACTTATACCAATTAAAAAAAAAATGTTGTCCATAACAGTGTAATTCTATGAACACAAGGACTCCCCATTATCTAAACCTCTGATTATCTTAATCTTTTGAATGTCTTCCCAGCCATTTGGCTACAAGAGGGCACATTTTTATTAGATATTTACAAGAATCAAAGCGCAGTATTCAGGCCTCAGGAATTTTTGGACTATTTACCACCATCTCCCCATTCCCTCTCTTGCAAAAGCAGAATGAGTCATAATAAGCTCTAGATATCAGCTGTGCAATCATCAAAAGTACAAAGAAATATGAACGGATTTGGAAAAAGTGAGTCTGGAGCAGTTGTTTGCCCTTATCTGATATTAAGATCACTGAGACAAGAGAGACTGACATGAATGTGCAGCAGGTTAAAAAGCATCAAGATTTCTCACACACGACCCGAAAAACCACACAAATAGTAATGTAGTTGACTTAGAGGAGCCATTCACAATTAGTGCTAAAGCAAAATATGAGCCAGCAGTGTTAGAAGGGATAGAATCAGTGGTGGGTTTCAAATCCCGTTCCATTTGGTACATTTGGTACATTTGGAACGGGGCCAGTGCCGTCCTCATGGACGTGTGCAGCGTGCGCACGCATCTTAGCGCCTCCGCAATGCTCCGCAACGCTCCAGCTGCTTTGCGGACCGTCGCGCAAGTGCTGTATGCCCCTGCGCGGAAGTGCAGAAGCCTTTAAACACCGGTAAGGAGCTCGGATGGGCAGGTGGGCCCTCCGGAGCACCGTACCGGAATGGTATCAGGTGCTCCGGGCTGGCTCCGGTATGCGCGTACCAGGTCGTACCGTCTGCAACCCACCACTGGATAGAATCAAGATTATGTAAAGTGTTAAAACCACTTTATAATGCCTTGGTAAGGCCACACTTGGAATACTGCATTTAGTTTTGTTTGCCACGATGTAAGAAAGATGTGAAGACTCTAGAAAAAGTGCAGAGAAGAGCAACCAAGATGATTAGGGGACTGGAGGCTAAAACATATGAAGAATGGATGCAGGAAAAACTAGTTTAATGAGAAGAAGGACTAGGGGAGACATGATAGCAGTGTTGCAATATCTCAGGGGTTGCCACAAAGAAGAGGGAGTCAAGCTATTCTCCAAAGAACCTGAGGGCAGGACAAGAAGC